AAAGTTTGGAACTAGCCGGGCGGCGGCAGAAGTGTGGCCTTTCTTGCTTTCCTATGCTTCCTCAATGGAGCTCGTTTTGACATGAAAGGGAGGGGGGGGGGTGGAAAAAAAAAATTGAAACCAAAACGGTTGAAGATGAATTTTTTGAAAGTGTTGCGGTGAGGACATTATTATTATTATTTTTGTTGTTCTTGTTGTTGTTGTTGTTGCCTATTTTTAGCATGGCAGCCATGTCGGCGTCCATTTTATCAATCATTTTTTCTTTTTTCTTTACTCCTTTTTTTTTTTATTTTTCCTTTTTTTGCCACAGTCGTGTAGGAAGCACCGTAGGGGTAGTATACACACACACACACACACACATCTAGCTCTATATCCATTTTTTGATAGACGTATAAAGCCCCACCTATTTATTTATTCATTTATTTATTTTTTGCGCCGGGCGCAGGATACACGCAGGAAGGATGATCTACTCTGGCGAGATAGAAAACGGCCAGATGCACGGTCGTGGGTGTCTCCAGTACCCTAATAATGAAACGTACGATGGTGACTGGGTTTTTGGCAAGCGCCACGGTCGTGGCGTGTACACGTACGTTGATGGTAGCCGCTACGATGGTGAATGGGTCGAGGACCGAGTCCATGGAAAGGGAACCTGCTACTACGCCAGCGGAAACAAATACTCCGGAGATTGGGCTTTTGGTCGCATCAATGGTCGAGGCGTTCTCGAGTACAACGATGGGGACCGCTACGAAGGGGACTGGAAGGATGGACGCATGCACGGCAAAGGCACCTACTGTTACTCAAATGGTGACAGATACGAAGGCGAATGGAAGGATGACAAACGCCATGGTAAAGGGGTTGTCGTTTACGCGGCAGCTGATGGTTCTGTTTCCGAGAAATACGACGGTGAGTGGGTTGATGGCCGCATGCAGGGGTGGGGAAAATATTTTTACGCCGATGGTGGTGTTTACGAAGGTGAATGGAACGATGGCCGAATGCATGGACGAGGAACGTATGTTTTTCCCAATGGCAACAAATATGAGGGTGAATGGGTGGAGGACCGAAAGCACGGCTATGGTATTCTCGTGTACGTGAATGGGGAGCGGTATGAGGGGTACTGGCAATTTGACAGGGCCCACGGTAAAGGAACCTTGATGTACCTCCAAGGAGATCGTTACGTTGGAGAGTGGTCGAATGGGAAGAAGCATGGCCGGGGTGTGCTCACTTATAGTAATGGTGACATCTACGACGGGGAGTGGCGCGACGACAATGCGTCGGGCTACGGTGTTCTTGAGTATGCAAATGGCTGCCGGTATGAGGGGGAGTGGGAGGAGGACCATCGACACGGTCAAGGCGTGCTTCACCTTCCTGATGGCTCCAGCTATGAAGGAGGATTCGTGCACGGCAAAAAAGAGGGAAACGGCAGAATTATACTTAAGGATGGATCAATGTACATCGGTACATGGAAGGATGGAAATATCGTGGGCCAAGGCGAGTTCCGACTCTCTGAGAGCTGTGATCTCAGCAATCCAGACTACTGAGAGCTCTGCATAGATTTTTTTTTCCTCTATTTTTTTTTCTTTTGATGTTTCTTTATTTACATGTTCCCTTTCATTCGTTCGCCTATTTTGGCGAAACACAATACGGGGGATTAACCACACCTTTTCGCGCCATCCCCTTCGCCCTTGTTTTCCCTCGCCACATCGTTCTCGTCCACCGTCTTCCTCAGCCCACCTTCACTCTCTCTTTCTCCGGCTTTGCGTTTTTCCCACTCCCCGTTCGTTAATTCCTTTCCTTGTATCTTCTGCGAGGGAAATATATATATATATATATATATTTGCTTAAATGAACCCGAGTGGGGAATAAATGGCGTTGGGAAAGCCGTGAGCCTGAGGCAGAGTTAGTAGTAGCAGTGCTGGTGGTGGCGGCGCCTGGGAGGAAATGGAGCCGGACAGCTGCAGCAGCAACGGCAGCAGAGGTGGTGGCAACGAAAATCCTCATGGGGATTGTGAACAATGACACCCTGTCGTGGCACCAGGTGGTGGTGTGTATGGGTGTGTAGATGAACACCAGTATAGCGTGTTTGCTGGTGTGTGTACTTGTTAGAGAGCCATCTAAAATGAGAGAGGGGGAGGTGGAGCTGATGCATCTCCCGCTCCCTTGTTTTGCCTTTAATTTTGTGTACGCCTTACCGGGATAAATACTTCCCGTTTTATTGATTGTAGTGGAGCGGCGTAGAGGTTGTATTTTAAATAAGGCGCGTTTGCTGCTCTCTCGCCGCGGTTTCCCCGCCTCACGCTTCATGCGGGTGCGAATACCAGCTGGACGCATTTTTGCGAAGCGGCTTGCCTAACATGGGGGCGTACCTTTTTTTTTTTTCTTCAGCTCTGTCCGTCTTGTATTCCGTTGCAAAGCCTGAGCTAGCGTTAAGTCTCCAACCGAATCACATCCCCAGTAAAGGAAGGCAACAAGATTAATAAAAAGGAGGTAAAAAGTTGGGGTAAATTTGCGTCCGGCTTTAGTGTTGCATAGGCGCTATTATTGTTTCTCCTTATCGTACTCGTTTTTTTTGTTCTGACACACACACACTCTCTCTCTCTCTCACACACACACATACATGGAGACTATCAAGGGCTTGGCGCGCCGCGCGACGCAGAGCCTCAGGGAGAAGGTCTTACATGGAGACGCTTCAGGCCACGATGAGACGCTGGAGGCGGCCAGCAAAAAGGTGTTCCAGTACCAGAGGTCCGGCGAGGCCATTTGTGTCAAAATGATACGCGCCGCAGAACTTATTGAGGAGTTGGGAAAAGTCCTTAAGGAGGTTGCAGAAGAGTACCAAAACGTCCCTGATTTACTACCGGTGTCGAGCCAGCTTGCGGCAGACGTGTTGGAAGTGGGCACAAAACTATTTGTCACGGCACAGGAGCATCAAAAAGGCCTCAAGGAGCAGGGCTTTGACGTGTTGAATTCCTTCATAAAAAATATCAGTAAGTTGAAGGATGCAGAGGAGGCCCGTCGCAAGAACCAGCTAGAATACGACTTCTTCCGACAAAAGGTGCTGGGACTGCGGGCGATGCCGCCCAAGGACAAGTCACGTATTCCACGAAATGAACAAAAGTTGGAGAATTGGCGTGTAGAGTTTTGGAGGGCCACTGAAAACAGCAAGGCGGTCTGCTCCCAGCTGTATGCTGAGGGTCGACGCGCCATTGATCTTAGTGTGTTGACCCTCACAAGGGTCCTTGGGAGTTTCCTCAGCATTGCTGGGAACGGATTTAAGCAGCAGTTTGTCAACGCACGACTGCCAGTGTACCCGACGACGTCGCTCCTACCCTCAGCGCCACTGCCACCTAATCCGATGCCTCCTTATCAGCCGCCGCCACCGCAGGCGGGAGGCTATGCTGCGATTCCGTACGGACAGCCGCAAGCGCAGCAAAACTCGCTGCAGGGCCAGCCGCCACAGGTGCAACAATGGCAAGGATGGAATGATGGCCACCCCACAGGTTGGTCGCAGCAGCACCCACAACAGCCGCAGCCACCCTCATTTCAGCCACACTTCCCCGAACCTCAGAGGCCATGGGGCCACTCCCCGTCGCAAGCGCGGTCGACGCCTGAAGCATGGCAGGTGCCAGAGGGGCAACAACAACAGCAAGACGGGAATTTTCAAGCGCAGAACACGTCATCGTCTGCTGGTCTGCAACCCTCCTTAAACAACTGCTGGCCCCCGAGCACCGCGTTCGAGAGGCCGCCCGAAGGTAACGGTAACGGTGCTCACGCACCTGCTCTACCTCAGCCCCCATCAGCATCGATGGATGGCAAATCGTAGTTATTACTACATATTTTCAAAATTGATGTTTTGTCCCTTGCTTGCTATCGTTGTGACTCGTTTTTTTTTTTTGTCCCTCGACGCGGCACGGTGAAAAGGTGCGAAAAGGCCTGGAAGCAACGCACTGATCTTTAGTTCTAGTTCGTATTTGCCAACACAAAAAAAAAGCAGGAGGATGAATGGGTGAGAGAAGTCTGCCGTTTTT